AAATTTCATGGAAGGAAAAGAAATTGAATGAGGCTTACTGAAAGAAGCCCATGTGGACTGTTTACTAATAATAACAATTGGGGGGGGGGGGGGGGGGGGGGGGTATTGTGAGCATCTGAACAAAGTAATGAGCTATCGCCAATGTCTGTTTCAGTGAGGTCTGGCACTTTATAATGATGAAGGAGCTCCCTTATGGGTTATGACTGGCAAAATAAAGAGGGTCAAACGCCTGAGTGGATTCAGCTTTGTAAATCATCCTATTCTTAGCAGTTCCTGATTGACAGTATAATACATTTTCCAACCCCATCGACACAATTTAGATAGTTTAGGATGAGTGCAACCACAGATAGCACATAACAAGATGGTTCACTCAGCCAAAAAAAGTGTCTGCCGGAAGTCCGCTCTTTGCTTCATATGGCGCTGCAGTCTGTTTTGAAGCTCTCTTTTGTTTCTCCAGAAGAATAGGAATAGCACCTTCTTGCGTGCGCAGATCGACCGCTTTTCATCAGTGATTTGGGTTCGTTCAGTGCGGAGTTTTAGACTTTTTTAAATTTTAATGACCTCTCGCCTTTCATTCTAAAGTCAAAATTAAACGAAGAAAACAGTCACCCCTTCCTCCAGAGGAAGTTTTTTGTCAGCGTAACCATTTTTAAAAAGCGTTCTTCCGAAATTTGAATTCTTATTTATTCAAAAACTTATTAGTTTCACTTTAATTTTTTAAACACAAGTAGGGTAACTCTGTTCGCAAAGGGTGCGCATTAGCGAAGAGGGCACCACCGAATTTTGAGGACACTTTTTTACTTGGCTCAACGAGAGGAGTGGACCCTCTTGTTATGTAGACTCTTTGGTGCAACTTCTGTCCTTCATGCCAGGGCCAACCCAGGATGAGGGGAAACTCAGTAAAATAATTTCCCAAAACAAAAATTACACATCAGGCTTGCCACATGCAAAAGATAAGAGCCAAACCATTAGACCACACACTCTGTGTACCTAACTCCGTACAGAAGTAACAGACATGATTGACACAACAGGAGGGATCAGAAGTAAGTAAAACAGCTGGGCATAGCCTTCAGGGTAAATATTGAAGTAGATTATTGCATCATGAGCCAACAAACAAGTAAATCGCTGAACTATCTAAGATTTCATATAGCTTAATTTCTGAGTTTGTACAAACGCTGTTAGACACTAATTGACTCCCTATGTCTTTCAAGACAGCTTACTGAAATCTAATCTTAGTCTTCATTCGGTTCATATTGAACTATGATATGCTCATTACAGCAAGACATACAATACAGCTCCCGTTCATGTATTTTGGAAAAGAAAAAAAGCTCGTCTCACCAAGGGCTTGTGGAAAACAGGCAAAACCTTCTTATTGTAACCAGCTACTTGCAATATGACTTCATCACGAACAAAAGCTCCTTTTTTCTTTTGGCACACTCATTGCACACAAAAACAATAGAAAAAACGAGCAAGGGCAAAATTGACAAAACATGAAAGAAGAATAAACAGATCGGACTAAACTCGAAATGAACCATGTATTTTCATTCTCAGACTAGAAAACCATTTGCTTGGAACTGACACCTACTTGTAAACCCTGTTGTTAATTGTTCTCCCCTCACCTACATGAAATCATACTACTGTGTCACCAAACAAAACCATTCAATTCTCAAATAGATCTTGCAGGGCAGCTCACACACAAGGCCCCTATCAAGACAATGAACGATGAACTTTTCATACAGCCAGCGAAAACGATAGAACATATCAAGCTGTGTGCACAAAAAAGAATTATGAATAGAACAGTGATCTATCATTCTATAATGTCAACAATTCTGATTCAACTGGTCGTCTTATCCTCGCAGAATTTGGGCATAAAAGAACAAAGACATTATTGCTTTGCATCTGCAGAGAGCTACCACCACCATGGAACGCCATAAGAAATGTGAAACAAATGCCATGCAGGTATCATAAGTGATACAAGAAAACTGAGCAACTTTGTTTGATCTTGCTTTACGAGCCCAGCAACAAAACATTTGAAGTTACTCATATTGCTTGCAAAAGTGACGACATAAAAAAACAACACAAGCTTGAAATCCTGAAGGAGGAGGACAGAGTCCAAACAATTGTAACTCCGAGCATAATTTAAGCTTACAGGCCGTTTCCATTTGGTGTGATACAAAGGAATGAAAATGCACCAATGACATGCACTTACACTTATAACAACTCTCACAACTCAAGCACCATCTTAAGTATCGGATATTGAAACATGCTATTTCCTCCACACACACATTTCTCACATAAAGATGAAACTTTATAAATAATAATCATTATAAAAGCCTATACTTTTGCCTGCTCTTCTCCCTATCCCAAAACATTCAAAATGAAATACACTAACAAAACAATCACAGTTTAACAAACTATGTGCTACAAAAAAACAACGAATTGTCAGGAAGCAAAGGTAATGGAAACAAAGCTTTATTTAATTTACACATAACCAATAACAAAATCAACTCTTTCTCTCTAGTAACAACAAGATGCACTGAAAGAACCCTAAACAACAAGGGCAATAACAGGAAAATTTCATCACAAGAATTAAAGGCTACTCCATTCTCACCTGTTGTTAACTATCCATTCACTCTGCCCCCTGTTCTGTGCACAGTCCTAAACAAATATTTGCCTCCACACTTTAGTTGGGTTTTTTTTTTAAAGTTTAGTATGGGGTTTTACCGCGCTCGCAACCTCCACACTTTCATCAAAAAACTCATCTACTTCTTCATTCACAGAACTGAACACATCTTCTGACCAATGGGAATAATTCAAGAGCTCACATTGAATCCCCCCCCCCCAAAAAAAAAACAACAACCCCACCACAAGTTAAAATTAAAACAGAGCTTTATCACACTACCCATACTTGTCCATGCGCGACACTTACAAAATAATAATTCCCTAATTAAAATCATGTCACTCACTCTTTATACGAAGCTTAAGAGATAGAAAATCTTCATGCCGTTTTTTTTAAACTTAAATCACAGAAGAAGTACAAGTATTTCTATATATTCTGTAAACAATTTCTTGACTCGGCAATTCTTCAATAAAACGGTACACTTCTCTCTATAGTGGCAAGAGGAAACTATTTTGGCATCAAGTACTTCAAATATTCTTCTGTCATGGACAATCAACATTTAAGGAATACAGACTTTTTTATCTGGTCAAAATTATTGCAAGATAGGAGGACTATCAGTAGCACATCATGGTCATGATCGTGCACTGCACACACCAGCATGAAAACTCCATTAGAACAATAAGACGATACTTAGACTGGCAGCGGCTCCTGAGCTTTGCAATGAGTAATTCTGGATTTTACTATCAAATTCACATCCATTAAGTAAGTAAGCTTTGTCATTATATGAACAAAATTAGAGAGAAATTGTTTATTTCACCAGACATCAAGACACCTCTATATCATGTCTCACGTTAGAGGCCACAGAACATAAGTTAGGAAACAAAAAAACAGGACCAGCCTGCCGGATTAAAAAGGAAATATTACAAGTAGAGCAATAAACAACAAAGATAATGTAGGACAAACGAACGAGAACAGGCACAAAGCAAAGTATGGGTACGAATTAAGCAAGTCCGAACACAAAACAGATCCGTCTATCAATCTGGGCAAAGCATTTGTACAAATATACATGCTCAGACACATTCCTCATTCCTGAAGCACATTTTTCTCTTCCTGTGAGCACACATTAACTTTACATAGAGACTTTCTGCTGCGTCCAGAAAAAGACATTCTAATGCTTTATCATCCATGGGAATCCACTGGTAATCAAATAAAGCATGATCTCTTTCCTTCTGATATAGGAAACAGCATAAAAATTCTGAAACCCTCATATTCCCCAACCCATAAAATACTGTTATAAAATATTCTTGCTCTGAGTGAATGTACAATTCTGTGTTCACAGCCATCTTTCCTCAAGCAAAACTATACCACTATACCATAGATCCTATACTACAAGATTGTTCACTCCTGGGTGCGACATCTATATTACAGCACATTTTATGCTATTATTAGGGAGTATCATATCTTTTAAGCAAAGAGCAGGAGCAAATACCCTTCTGAAAGAAATTCAATTTGAGAACCCAACCATATCATTTTTATCAGCACCGGTGAAAAACATTACCAAAAAAGTGCTGCAACTTTTCAAAAATGTTTTTTTAATATCTTTGATTAGACCCACAAATGAAAATAAAATAAGCTCTCACACCGCCTTCAACATTCACACACAGTCAACTTAAACTTAGAAGAAAGCACAAGCAGGAACTTTCATTGTCATTGAACCCTGTTACAAAATACTGTAAATGTCTAATTTTTCAAGATACCCCAGTTTTAAATAGTTCATCTTTGTAACAAACAAAGAGGAAATTTCTCCTCAAAATGGAAATCCAGATGCAATTTCAAAAAAAGAAAACACACAATGACAGCCTATGCTTTGATTGAGCAGCTTCAGTCTACGACAGCCGCTTCCACAATCTCAGTCTACCTCTGAAAAGACTTCATAATTTTCTGTTTTCGTTTAGGAAAAAACTCTCGATCAGAATCAATCCATGCGATATAAAAAAGAGCAGTAAATCTTTTTAAAAATACAGGTCTACAATATTTCTTTTAGTTAAAACAAAAAAATGAACTCTAAAAACTGTAAGAAGCCCAAGTTAAATTCATTACACAGCAAGGCAAAAGAGTGTTAAAAAATAATAGTCGAACCTGCCTTAACGGAAACCTGTGTAAAACGGAAACCTGTATTAAGAGAATCTCCCCGCTCCCCCCTTGATATATTCCTCTTTAATTACCTTTATAAAACGGAAACCTGTCCAACGCGGAAACGGAAAGAAAAATCCGCTCCTTTCCGAGGGTTTCAACTGTTTAAGACAGAAAATGCTTTGCCCAACCAGCCCTGATTTGAAACAAAACTCGCAAGTTTGGTTCTGCTGGCTCTAAACTTAACGCCATACCGCCGGGCAAGGAAGGGGAGTAGGGGTGCAATTTGGGGGTAGATGTTACCCAATCCATGTGAGCCCTGAGAGGTGCAGACGATCAGGGAAGCGTGAGTGTGAAATCTCACGAGTGCCAGTGGAAGTGCTCGAGTAGCGAGCCACAACAGAAAATTTCCTGGATAGCCAGAAGCCAGAGGTGTGAAATTAGTTTGACCAATGCCTGCCGCCCTGATCGTATAGCCAGCTAAGAAAAGAATTCCTCGAATCGTTGTTACATGATGGCAGTGAGGGGTGGCCTTTGTTAACTATGTTACACCGAAGGGTGGGGCTCAGGGTGGAAGCAAATAAGATGTTTAATGGCTTTTGTCTTTAATAGGTCAAATAGTGGTCTTATGAAATGCAAGCACTGGTGGTGATTGGATAAGAAAGACTGACGCAAGTCAATATCAGAGAGGATAGTAGTTGAGAGGAGAGAAGTTTTGACCACTGCTTGCCGACCAGAGAAGCGAACCTTGATCCCAACGGCTGGGTTTTGAAACCTCCCCTCCACCTTCCCCCTAAATTCCCCTGTCTAAGATGAAATTTCGTCTAGTTCCCTTGCGATTCCGTCTTCCACAGGTTCGACTGTACTGAAACTATTACTAAAACCTTCAACATACAGGTAAACAGATCAAAGTCAAAACTGCTTATTACTTTACATGAGACCCCTAGTTTTTTTTCTGCACTTCTCATATTTACTACATGTAGAATTAAAATCCTAAATACTGATAGTTTGACCATGTTTTCCTATTGCGACAATGGCAAAAAGTAGAGAAAAGAGACCCACACCACAAGGTTCAATTAAGTTCCTCCACATAACCAGCTTATAAGTAGATGAGTGTGGGTAAACTTTTACTTAAAATTTAATAAACAATTTCATATTCTATTTAAAGCTTAACAATTTTGAAAGAGGCAGTAACTGAACATGCAATTCCCCTTTCCTACGTCAAGGAGAGAGGCGAATATGATCCACGGGAAGCTTTAGAATAACAGGGGCCGCTTAGTAAATCCATGTCAAACAGAAATGTTTCACTTTTTCCCTCAAATTGACCACAGTTAATCTTTACAAAACAGGCTCCTGTGGGTTAGATCTAGAACAAAGGCAAAACAAACTGCGGGATCTCCTTGAGTTAAGAGCTATCTGACTTTGACTGCACCAAGTGTCAGCCATTTAACGGTTCATCTCTCCACTATTGTTTCCCCTGTACTAGATCACTGTGCACTGGGAAAAATTAAAATTATAACCAAAAAAAACCCACAAAAAAACCCCCCAAACACTTCCTGACCAATCTAGGTCATTAAAGCTGCATTTCCTTACGACAAACCGAGAAACAAAGACATCCTGTCTACTATACAAGACAAAGCCCAATACATAAGCCCTTGATATAAATTAAATACTGAGAATTATGGTTGTTGTTTATCTTTCCAACTTGAAGAAAGAGGAGAAGAAAAGCAGTAAGAGAGGTGCGGGTGAAAAATCCCAACTGCTGTACTTATAATTGACACAAGGAAAGGTAAAAAAGAGAAAAATGAATAACAACATGAGCACAGAAATTGCACGAAGTTGGAAATCATGAGACACTGCAAATTCAAAGGAAAAAATTTTTTCAAAGTACCAGTTAAAGAACTTATCGAGTAAAGCTAAAAAACACAGTTAAATATAACAGGGGAAAAAAATATATAAAAGAGACAAAGTGAAGAAGAAAACATACTTGAGGTGAAAATTAACACTGTCAATTTTAAATGATACAAACTTTTAAAATTAAACAAGTCTCCTTTGAAGTCGCAATATCTCATGTTAAAAATCACTACAACAAAAAAAAAAGTCAGCAAATCATGCGCACCCATGCATGCATCTTTTGTGGTACAAACAGAAAAGGGATGATAAAACAAACATAAACGAGCAAATGAGGCGGCAGGCACATGCTCGCATGGCGGGTGTGGCGTCTCTCTGCAGGCAGAGCAACTTGAAAGACAATGATGAGCCCAGGGATGTGTAGAGACTACAGGGGCCGACCGAGCCGTCATGAGGGGGAAAACAAGATGGTTCCCCTCTGTGTGATACCTCAATACATCTACAGGTGGGTGACTTGGACATGGGGAGAGGTGGGTGTTGGGGAGTTTGGCTATTGGTTCTCTGGGCTGTGATTGGGGCGGAGAGATGGGAAGGGAACCCAGCACAGAGTCACAGGGGAAGAGAAAGGATTCCCTTAGGTACCTGATGAGGATAAAAAGGGGGGAAAAAAAGAATTGTGAAATTTAGCATTGAAGCCTTTCTTTATCATCAGGAAGTTGAAGTATAATATAACAAGCATTATAATAAAGAAGTCTCAAAACTTGACAAACCAACCACCCATGAGCATGGTGTCCTGCCATCATGCTTCTTTATAAAAATTAATTCAATAATTAATTAACTAATCAATTCACCCCCCCTAAAAAAATATTTTTTTAAAAACCCACAAACATCTGAACTAACTTTTAACAAAGTGCAGTTATTTTACTTTTCATATTGTGCAAAATCTATCCACCCTATAAATTAACTTTGGTTTCAACGGCTACTTAGAAGGAGGATAATTTTGATGGCAAGTCATCTGAATGAGCAATTCTTTCCTCTGGACTAAATGCTTTTCATGACTTCCAGTACAGTAGAAGCATACACATCCTAGAAAGAAAAATTGGAGACAAAACCTTCTGGCCTTTCAGCTTTGACAACTTAGGAATGAATACACAGAGGCATAACTTGAAAGCAAAAATCCATAAACATAAACGATGACGAGCAACACAAAACCCTGTTCACCCTCAGAGACAAATCAAAGAGCAACACTCAAAGAGAAACACACATTCCCTACACCCCCTGTTCCAGTTCCACTATCAGGCACCAGAGTGAAAGTAGTCGAAATTTGGTACAATGGAAGAAGACTAAACTCATCAAAATGTTCCAACATATGAAAACGCAGACAAAATAACAGAAGAACAGCCTATAATGCATGTCTGGCACCTTGCTTTCTCTCAACTTGAGACATTCATTGCACTGAAAAAAAGGGGAAATGAAGAAAATGTTCACCACTACTCAAAAATTACCAGTAATAAATGTAATATTCACAGTAAAAACAAACCAAAAAAATACCCCTTGCATTTCTTCACAAAAGCCGAAAAGGATAACTGCTGATCAAATCTAGCTGGATGAAGCCAATGCGCACCACCTCTTTCATGCAATAAATGAATTAAAGGCAAAAAAATGAAATGTGTATAAAGGTGCTGAATTTAAAGAAGTCCAAACAAATTGAAAAAACACCACCACTTCAAGCCCTTCAACAACATTCTAAACTATTTTCTTTAAAAGGAGTTTGCAGTTGATTGAGTATGTGACGAGTTGGGTGCTATGTTGGGTTAGTTTTTCATTTGAAATATTTTTGAGGAGCTTAAACCAAAATGTTCAGCTCTTTTGGAATTCAGAAAACTTGGCATATAAAAGATCTTACACTGAGCCGCAGGGACATAAAATTTCTAAAACACTGTGTAGCAACACAAAGCCACACTCATTTCAAAGCTACCTCAAAACAGTCAATCAGAATTCTTGTTTGCTTTCAAAAAGAAAAAAAAAGGAAAAAACAAAAAGAAAGGAAAAAACCCATCTGATTCTTCCTTTTAACGTTTTAGCACCGACAAGAGAGAAAAAAATTACAGGCAAGACAAAGTGTTGAGCACCGAAATAACGAGTAGTAGGAGCAGATGCCAGACAAAATAAAATTTAAAAAAACAAAACAAAAAACCCCCAAAGTAACTGTGAATCTGAGTAAAATCTACTTTCCCAAACAACTGAATTTAAGAGAAAATGCTTCCGCCTTTATATCTTCGATTGGTACCGAAACCTCAATATTCAACAAATATATAACTGAGATTGTGGAAAATTTGAACCAAAAAAATACAGCTTAAAAAGCCCCCCCCCCCCCCTTAAATTTGTCATCATACTGGGTTTCACATTCGATTGAGAAAACAGGTGTCTTGAGCAGGTCGAACTATGGTTGGGTTTTTTTTTAATAAATTAAATAAAACAACCTTATATGCACAAAAAGATAACCAAACAATGAGGTATGACCTTTCAGGTCTGACTGGCCTTGTAAACCAGATCACAGCTAGGCAACTAAATTGTAGACCACATAGACTCGGCGGGGCTGCATCATTTTATACCCACTGCATCTATCCTCAGGTATGGCCGTGAAACTTTGATATTTGTATTAAACAAGCAAATTAGTCAGGTTTGCCAAGAACCATCAGTTCCAGCTACAAAGATTGAGCCTCCCTCACTGGGACATGGCTTTTTTTTTCTTCCAAGGCATAATCAAAAATTGCAGATGAGATTAATTATGCCTTGTTCTTAAAGAAACATGAAGCTCAGGAACTACAAAAACCATGTGGCCAGATTGCCAGTCGTACGCCCTGACCTATATCCTAAACTACAAGGCAAACGTAAATTCTTACACATACAGCTTTAATTTTGGCAGCCAAATTATGTTCCCTGCGTACCAAAGAAGACCGCAGAGGAAAACAGTTCAAGTCATATTTTACAGTAAACAGAAAATCTATTTCTTAAAATCAAATCACACCGTACTTTGTTTTTCAAGTGTGTACTATTTTCAAAAGACAGACCCCATGTTTAGTTTGATAGTCTATTGACAGATTTAACTATGGAAGAAGAAAAAATGCCGAAGGAAAGAATCCATTAATTTTGCAGCTGTGATTTCACTCATTTTCCCAGTGTAGTCTTTGGCCGCACTAAGTAAAACTAGTATAACCATGCTATAATGCTGAGGGAAAAAAACTCACAAGACACAAGAGAGGTTGGCATACTTTCATTATCTCTGCAGAAATCAGGATTCACATTTGGATGCAGTTGAACGATGATAGTATGGTGTGCAGAAATACTTCCAACAAGCAGAACTTTAAAAAATGTCACTTATCAAAACTTCTCGTCTTGACAGACGCAGTTGACAAGCTTTTGATATCAAATCAACCCATGACTTCTTTCAGAAATTCAAACACATGATTTAATTATAAAAACTAGATGCTACTAAAAAAGTCATTCATTTATCAAACAAGGCACACCAATATCATCAGATACATCCTGCTATTATTTCATTTTGCCATTGTGGCGAGCCAAAACAAGGCAAATCTCTTGTGTCTGCAAGCATGAACACCCCTCAGAGAGATAGAGAACACTAGAAACAATATATCAAAGCTTCCACATTCACCCTTCCCCTTTGAGCAGTGACGCCCAGCTGAAATTTTACACAAAAAGCTCAGAAAAACAAAGTCAAGGAAACAATAAATTTATGCTAACGAATAATTGGTATAGTTTAGCACAGTCAACGTATCTAAGAGCAAAATGTGGTATTTCTCAATAATGACCCGCCCCTGCCATTATGAAACAATCAGAATGAGCCATTTCAACAAAAACACTTCTGTTCTCTTTTAACAAGTAAATCAATTTGAATACTTCATTTTAACAAAAGCGAAAAAGGTTATCCACAAAAAAGGTGTTCATGATGCAGTGAGAAAACATTTTGGAAGACAAACACTTGTCTTTAGAGATGAGGTATGTGTTAAAATACACTTGCTGATTTACATAATAAACAAGACTACATCTCATAAAAGCTTTGAAACATCTACTCTCTGGAAAAATAACATATATCACATAATCCCCAGCTGTGGCTGAGAGATGGAAGAACTGTCTTTCTCTGAGGGTGTCATTAAGTTCGGGGCTGTAACAGCAACGCTTGCCCCCCTCCCACCCGCTCCTCACAGGTAGGGCCTTGGTCAATGCTGCACATGCTTACTATGACAATAACAAAGCTCACCCGCTCGATGGTGGTGCTGGTGACCCATGGCCGTGGCAGGGGAACCCGGCCGAGCCCGCACTGTACCCACAATGCCCGGAGCCAGTCGTGGAGGCAAGGAGGACAACGGGTGGTGGGGGGGCGGGACTCGAGGTATTTCACACATCTCACACTTCTGCAGGGCCGGATGGTTGGTGAAGGTGCAGGCAGTGCAGTTCCACGACTCGCCCTCCTCCGAGTCGCCAGAGTTAATGGTGGGCTGGGCGGGGGGCACGGGAAGAACACGGTTGAACACATCAGAGTTTGACACAGCCCCCGTCACGCCCGACGACAAAGGGGTGGATATCTCATTTGAACGTTGCCGCACCGGGATTGGGGGAGGAGGGCGGGGAGGAGGGGTAGGGCGGGGAGAAGCTGAAAAAAAAAAGGCAACACACAGACATGAAAAACAGGAGCTGACAAAAAAATCTTCATACCTCCACCATTCTAAAACCACAAAAGCAGCTGGAAAAAACACTGTGCCAGTGAGCTGCAGGCATGTTCCTTAATGACAGCTTCGATGTCCAATGACTTTACGGCAATAGCCAAAAACAGTTCACTTTTACCAGGAGTTCATTCATGAACTCTTTCCAGATGTAACGCCAACATATCAGCGCGAGTCCACACCCCTTGGGCTAGCTGCCGTATCGTAAATATACCGGCTACGATGGGGTACCTCAGTTTTGTTTCGTTTTAACATGATCCGTCATTCACAAATACTCACTGTTATTGAAAACTTGGAAAGGATTTAGAAAATGAAAACATCTACTTTTACTTTCTGAAAGCGTCAGTTTGGCGAAAAACGAGAGAATTACTTTTTGCAGTCTTGAATCAACAAAACGATGTAACTGGACTCTGTAGAAATATTTTAACTCAAACAAAAATTGGAATATTGATTTCAGATAAAAAGCTGCGCATTCAGAAATTAGTGGATTATGCTCTTGGCCTGTGTATGATAAGATAGCTATGCTGATTTGCTTTCAAATGTTTGATGAGTGTAATTTTTACCATCAAAATTTATTCTTCTGATCACCATCACCCATTCTAACCCTTGCAATGCATTTTTCTTTTAAATTATTCTTTGTTTCACGTTTGAATGTATTCCTCATTCAATTTCCTTCAATTAGATATAACATATGTTACCTTTTGGGTGATGGCTATGCTTATATGAAGTCATTTTGTACATCACCCGCATAGCCAAATCGAGCAACAGGTCAATTATGTCTAGACCCAAAATAAAACTACATCCGGAAACAGTTAAATGAAGAAATAGGTTCAATTGTTTTTACTTAATGACTAATTTTGTGACGTGATGTTATATTTCATACCAAAAGAAAGCCCAAGCATAGTGGAATAGAAGATAAAGAGTTAAGAACCAAAAATGCTTTTTTCTTTAGAAAATGTTAATTCATAAGACTGTAAAATAATTCACTTCAAATGGGAAACACGTTTACAACCTGAGACACACGCATAGAACCTGTCACTTTTTTCGATGCATTCTCATTTATGATGAGCCCAGGCTCAAAATTTTAAATTGTCTGTTGTGCTCATTGGCAAAATTACTCACGTGTTCTTTGTCCATCTTGTGTCCTTGAATATATTGGATCTTGCTGTCCCTTGGGCATGTTCTCGAAAAAGTTCTGCTGGCCAAGAGGATCTATCTTGTTGTATGGTGCTGAAAAAGAAAAAAAGATGAGTAATCTGTTCATTATCTGAGTCAAGTTTGCTTTCATTTTCATGCAACTGAGAATCTCTTTCTTATGGACTTGATGTTCTAAACCAAAGGAAACTGTGCCTTTAGGGTCAAACAAGCTTATCAGAGGTTAATAAAAAACAAGGATGAAGAACAATGCTACCCACAGCAATATAAAAGTCTACCGAACACTTCCAAGGACGAGAAAAAGGAAAATCTAAAGAGTACTGTTAGTAAAATTAATCATCCTCTCCCGCTCTACTTTTTCTTTTCCCCTTTGCATTCCAACGGTAAATTTGAAGCAAATAATTTTTATGCAGATAGATAGCTCATTTACAAAAATGTTCTAACCACTTGACACACACAATGGTTTCAAATATGTTTATTTCTCAGAGCAGTTTTTTCAGTCTTAGAGGTTAGGACTAAATCAGAATTTGCAACAGCTTGCAAGTACTAGGAGTACAAAATTAGGCACCTGGTGTAGAGGCAGTTTCTCTCCTATCTCAGTTTATTCACAGCGCTAAGGACAACATATATGTATTATTCTTTTATGTTTAACTGTCAAAGTGTCTTTCATGGGACCAACATGTACAAGGAACCTCTCGGTCTTTTGGATATCAAGTGACCAAGTTTCTATGACCTAGGAATCAGATAATATAATGTACTTCAGCGAGATAAACAAATACCTTACTTCTAGACCACTGAACCCAATCCCTGAACGATTCAACAATAAAATTATTTGTCTAAGTCAACATATTTCAGCAATGCAAATCAGGCTTGCATACGCGACGAAATTTTGGTCCCCGTTTGTAAGTGTATATTTGGACTTGGATCAGAACTTAGGTGATTAACTTATCAAACTTGATGGGCTCTATTTCCGGACCAATATGAATGAAACTTGGCAACCAATCAGAAACAGGGCATACTTATGACATGTGGATGTTGAATTTTGTACACATAAATTAACCTATATTTTTGGTGTCTGAAACCCTTTTGTATCCGGTATTCCGTAAACTACAAGGAGCTGGATTTTCAACGGTGAGAGATCTATCTTTCCTCAATAGTGTCCTCAAATTTAAAACGTCCGTGTCAAGTAGTTGTTTGGAATTTATCAGAAATGTACCACTATCCCCTGTTCAAAACGGCTTCACACGGAGGTTGGACATTTATCTGCACTCCCTCAGCACACGTATGTGACCTAAAAATCCCTGCATGGTATTCCGAGCCCAGTCATTGGTCTCTTGAAATAGGGCATGGCCAAGCATGCGCATCCGGTCGTTTCCCCTGTTACATCGCAATAGGGGGTTAGCATACTAATGGAAAAAAGAAAGCTTTCTAATTGTACGGCATGTTAGAATCAATAGAATTATATTTTAAGGTTGACATGGTCTAAAGGCATCAAAGACAGTTTTGCCATTATTTAGGAACGCTAACAGCATATTCTTAACTCTTTAAACCCAGAGTTTTTTTCACCGTATCCCGGAATTTTTTCTACCGTAACTTAAACCTGGTGCACTAAGTCTCATTACAACCCCAAAAGCTTGCGTCCAAAATTTAAACGGCAGAAACAAAGGCTTAGTCATTACTGAAAAACCTGGCTCCGGAATAGTTCCTAAAAAAAAAGCAAAAACTAGCACTCAATAAAACAAAACAGTTGTCACTAATATCGGATGCTGGGCGGGGAACATGATAATTACCGTAATGGGGTTTAAAGAGTTAAAGATCCCATGATGTGATATGGTGCTGCAAATAAAATGCTCTTATCCCAACACCCTTCTTTCTCAAAATAGAAATATGTACACAGAAATGTTAATTATAACAAAATATCTACAAAATGGTAGGTAAATCTGACTGCAGAAATGAATTCTCCATCCAAAAACACATTGAGATGCCAAGTTTCTTTTAAATCCTCCGATTAATTACTGATGTGTCGTCGATTTTTACAGAATCTGTTGTTACATGGTCCACTTTTGAGAGTATTTTCCTTATTATGAGCCATCCATATTTTGCCACACTTTACAACCCCATGACTTTTTAAATTCATCAACAGATTCTTTAAATTAAAAAAAGGCTAAAAGTGTCCGCCCCGGTCATAATCAGTCATAAGACGCAATGAGCTATTTGGCGCCACGAGGCTCGAAAGACTAAAAAGTGACTTTCCATGAATTTAAAAAATTTTTGGATCTATTGAAAGTTTAATGTCTTCTGCTTCATTTAAGACCAAAAGAAACAACTATAATCGACTTATAAATATTTTTTATTTTTATTTATTTTGGAGGTGTGTGTGCGTAGTTTGTTGTGAGCTTGAGTGACAAGATAAAGGAATTTGGACCTCAAACCCTTTCGAGCATTTGACCTGCAGGTGTGTAGCTGTGAGATTATTTACAGAACCAATACCTCATGGCCACATTGCTTCAACGTCCTTCATTTTCCCGTAATCTTAGATTTAAAACCCTATTCAAACATGAATGGTCTGAAATATAAACAATTTAGCGTCCCTATGGACGGCTGAGGGTTCTGACGGGTTAAACAAGGTAAGAACGGTAACTCCTAGCCCACTTCAAGCTTGTGTATGTAAACAGCTGACTGTGTAAGCGTGTCCAGCTAGCTCAGTTATGGGCTGTTGATCTTTCAGTTTTACACTTCGGTTGACTTTAAAAGTTCGTTTTGATCGTGTTTTAGTGCGTTTTTTTGAAGACTGATCTTCCTCTAGATCTCCAAAGGTGGACTCCTTACAAAGAGGCTACCGAGGCAGTCTATGTGCATGTGTGGGAGTATGTTGTGTATGTGTGTATTTGTGTGTGTTTGTGTATGTGTGTGTGCTTTCGTGTGTTTATAGTGCTATTGTAAATGTATAATTACAAAGCGTAAGCACGGCAGGTTTTGGTGAAATTGAGGTAACTCAGATTGCTTTTTCTTTGCTCTTTCGCTATAACACACCAAATGTCGTACACCATGTTTGTTTGTTTTTTGCGAGTATTTGGAGCTAGAGAATCGCAGAGGAAAGCGAAGCACCTCGTGGTCGGAATGCGAGATCTGCAGGTTCAAAAATTGACACCGATGCATTCGAATGCTTTGAAGAAAGAGTGATGATTAAATACCGTCTTGGTAAACAACTTCTTTGAGTTTTGAACAGGGCTTCCCGTGGAATTATTGTACATTAATCCTTTCGCGAAACTCCGTGAAGCACTCAGTACATTACAGTTAAAGTCGACTCGCTCGCCGCGTGGACCGGTGCAATGTCAGCCGGGACAACGCCCGTGGTTTTTTAAAAATCGAAATAACGACAGACCACCGTGTTCTGAGGCAATACAATACTGATTTGTAATGATCTCAGTCTTGAAAAAGTTTAGGCTCCATTTCTATGTTATAGTGATTGTACTCTGTTAATATGGAGATGTTTGGTGCACTTGGTACTCTTTTATTATCAGTCAAACATGGGGTTGCAGCCAGTTAGCGAATTTAGCAATATTCGATTACATATTAAATTAAAACAGCAGCCATTTTCTTAAAAATTGACTGACAGGGAAAAGTATGGTACCTAAAGTCACAGAAGACACAGGCCTTTCATTTAGACAGATAACTTTGACATACAGCTACTTTGAAAATTTAGTCTCTAGTACCTAGTAGGGCCTAAAATGCTGACCCGTTGTTGCATTTGACATTAACACCATTCTCGTTAAAATTTTGTTTAATCCATAAGCTTTTTTTTTCCAGTGAATCGATAGTTTTCTACTTCTGTGTGTTATCTTGTAGTGGCCTATCCAAGATAACTGCCAAATTTTAAGTCTTTACCTCAATTCTATTACCCCCGTTGCTATGGAAACATGTTGCTCAACTTCCGAGCCCGTCTTCTCCTTTTCATGTTTCTGTACCTTGCATACTTAAAAGTTCCATATTTCTGTGAAATATTGTCTATTTACTTCATTTTTTCCAAATTTTAATGAAACGGGGGTTTTTTTTGGAAATTATGTTAACTAAATTTTGAAATTTCCTTCATTTACTGATTTTGACAGGGAGGGTCACAAATAACTCTTAGAATAGAAATCCCTTTCTTAGGTACCAAATGAAAAGGGATAAAGTGAAAAATCAATTTTTCATTGACATTGCTACATGTTTGTCATGATGACAACAGGCTTGCTGCTGGTCATTCTCGTTTCACCTACCTATTTCGCTTAAAAGAAGCACAGACACTTGCGCACAGATATGATTACTTTATAACAGTTTAACTTCTTCCGTAGAGCATATCTTCCTCCCACTTTCAGAGACCAATGGACCATAGAACAAACCCCTTA